CACACACACACACACACACACACAGAGAAACACACACAGAGATATACATCAAGTAATAGCACAATGGAGACTTTAATATCAAGTAATTTAGCTTAAGCGTGAAATCTTTATTATGAAATAAATACCTTGATGTATGCTGTTCCTTCATTTTTTTTATTTATTTCCAAAGTTATATTTAATTTTGAAGAAAAAGTCAAATAATAAAAAAACTTCTAACATTAACATCCAAAACTATAATTAATATTGATAGAATATCCACTTTTTTTTCCTCTTATCTATATTCAATTCTCTAAGGCACCTAAATAATAGAATATTAAGAATCTATTATATAAATATCATTGTACTGAAATAACATATTATATTAAAACTGAGTACAAGGACCATTAGATGGTCTATCGAGCTAGTTCCATATTAACACTTTATGGATATATTTTCAGTTTCTTCAGATGTCACTCATTTAATTACTAGTTTGTATATTCCTTTCTGTTATATTAGCACTGATATGTTTTTGGTTGTTATATTTCACTAATAAAATATTTTTTAAAAACCTTAAAACTGAAATTGAAAAAAACAAACAAAAAACGGCAGGTTTAGCCACATGAAAAGTTGTCCTGCTATCCAATGATGGGCATTAGAGAGAAACATGCACACTGAAATGGGAGGGACCAGGTGCTCCTCACAGCTCCTCCTGGGTCTGATGCCTGTTATTTCTGAACACAAGTACAGTGCTCTTCTGAAAGCGTGTTAAACCCGTTTTCAGAAATAATCCAGCTTACAGGTAGCAGGCACAGAGAAGGAGCACAAGCAGAAGTGGAAGTTCAGCTCCTCCTGCTCAGCTTGACCCCTTCCCTGTGCCCGCCAGCTACACAGTTTCTGACCACAGGTGTGATGCTCTTCCAAGAGAACATAAAAGCCATGTTCAGAATTACAGCCCAGGTGATGGGTGTGGGGTGAAGTGGAAGAGAGCAACCTATAGACTCTTGAGATGGAGGAAAGGCAGGTGATAAATGTAAGGAATAGTTCAGCAACATCTAGAGGAGTGGAGGGCTTCCCGCAATTGACTTAAAATGTTTTCTGGTGGAAGTATATTAGCTATTCAAACAGTACGTCTAGGTCTGAAAAATCAAGTATAAATATGATACACACATTGTACTAAGGAAATGATTGTCTACTTTTCATATTAAATGGAGAATGCATGATAGACATCATTACAAAGCTGTTAGTTTACTTTCACTAGGATCTTTACTAGTGGCTGTAATAAAATATACTGACAGCAACCAATAAAGATGTATGGAAATTAAACATAAATTGAATTAAGGAGGGAGGAATTTGATCTTTTGCATGCAGTTTTTTTTCATTCTACTGAGCTGCCAAAACTAACCCAACTATTGAGAGTTATTAAGTAACTCAAGACCATACCACACAAAACAGTCAATGTCACTGGGAGATAATGTGAATCTTAAATTATTGATAGCAGCTGTTAGAAGCCCAAACAAGATCAGGATTGGTTTAATCCTTCTTTCCTGTGCTAATTCCACCAGTGCTAATTCCACCAGAGAAGAAGCTTCTACTTAATACTACTCACCAAGATTGCTGCATCTAACTTCTATTTGCTGTCAATAATTTAAGATTCATATTAAATCCCAATAATTGTATAAAGGGGGCATGCAAAAGCTATACTGCCAAGAGACAGAAAACGTATTTAATTCCCCTCCCTCCATTTAGAAATATCAAGTTCCTGTAATTTGTTTTAGAATTTTTTAAACAGAAGAGCAACTTTGGAGGAAAATACAAATCTTTCTCTTTTATTTTCAGTAATTATTATTATCCTCTTTTTAATTTCATTTTTCAAGTGGAAAGGAGCGCTGGAGATTATGTAACTTTATCATATGACCCCATTGATGTCTTTTCCAAAAGAATCTTAGTTTGTTGGGTTTCAGATGATGGCACAATCTGTTCACTCTTTCTTAATTCTCCAGCAAGCAAGAATATTTGGTTATTGATTATTTGGTAGGTAGAGAGCTGTTATGGCTGCACTCACCTCATTTCTCCATAAGTAGTATCTAGCAAGACAGCCAAATTACCAGAGTTTTCTTTTCTTTTAACTTGCATATATCAAATTAAAGTAGACCAAATCCAGAATTTCATTTTTCCCCTATTCTTTTACAGCAAGAGAGGCTTTTTTAAAAAAAATATATTTCCTTTCTTAAAAGTTTACGTTAGGGCCAGCAGGAAGTGTATCAAACAGGGAATCACACTGGATAACTGTGAAAACCGCTATCTCCATGTCCAACCTCTCTCAGAGGGCTGCTGTCAAAAAATAAATAAATAAATGGATGTAAGCTACATTGAGCTCCTGGAAGACGTATGGAGGATAGAAATATTACACTCTCTGCATTTAACATGTCTAGGTTAGAAATATCTTCCTGGCTTCATCGTTCTACTTTTGTACACGCAGGGAACTAAAAACACACACATACACACATATGGGAGCCCTAAAATATTCATGCTCTCATTTGCTATCCAAACTGGCATAGTCCAGTAGTGGAGAAACCTAGCTACTGATTGTGTATGACCAATTTGCTATTATTTGCAAAAAGTTCTTAATAATGTTTTATTTTTACATAACGGATCTTCCCAAGTACAAAAAACGAAACTATGATTATCTTAAATCCAACTTGCTGAATAAATTGAAACAACACATTGTAACATCCTCTGGGTTTTCACTGATTTGAATTAGCAGGTTACAAGAATGAACCTTATCCTGCTTGTTCCTTTGGATGTAATACAGCAGCTCAGTGCAGTGCATTCTGGATCAGTTCAATTATAAACTGGTCAAAAGGTGGTGAAAGAGAACAGAACTGAAGTCGAATGGAAAAAAATAGATTTTCTTGGTTACAGGTATAAGTAGAAATTCTGTACATGTGATAATAGATAACATTTTTGTGCCAATTTAGATTATAAATACTTTGATTTATATTGATATTCCAAAGGAAGGAAGGCAAATTTCTGCATCAGGGTTTAACAATGCAATGTCTCATTTATATTCTTATGTCTCATTTTGCACATACATACACAGTTGTGCATATGGATGTCTTATCTCTGTATAACTATACCTGTATCTGTCCATTTACATTTCTATCTTTATATATGCATCCATCTATGGATAGATATCCTACAGAAAATAAAGTGTTGCTATTTACAGCATTACACCCTGATACTCTTTGGCAGTGTTTCTCAACATCAAAAACTTTAAGATGTGTGGACTTCAACTCCCAGAAATCCCCAGCCAGCCCTTCCAGAAATTTTGGAAGTTGAAGTCCACACATCTAAGTTGCTGAGGCTGAAAAACACTGCTCTATGGAACTCTCCTGACTTCTTGCCAGCAAATTTCTCTGCAACTTTAATGACATTACATACAGTAATTAATATACAAAGTAAGAAGTATAGACCTTTCTGTGTGTTATTTCAGAAGTTCTCAGACAAGATTAATCAATATAAAACATCAAAGATTGGTATTTCATTTTCTACTCCATGTGTGTGTAGTGTAAACATTTTAAATTGCATCAGTGATTGTAAGAGCAAATCCTGAAAACTGTCTAAGACTAATCAATGTGGAACAAATGGCTCCCCTAATAATCTTAATACATCATTGTATTTTACCAGGCTTATGTCTAGACCTTATTCTTATTGGAACGTAGGTTCAGCAAGACATTGCATGTATTTAGAAGCTTGCAAATTATATGGTGAGACATTCTCTCACACAGCCTGTAGGAGCCTTTGCAAAATGGTTCTAGAACATTACCATGCAAGTCTTGCTAATGACCCTTACTTTGTTCTCACCCCAGGGACTTTTATAATGTCCAGATGGCATGTTTCAAGCTTCAAAGGGATGCTTCATTCTA